GATGCGGGACTCGATCCCGGGACTCCAGGATCATGACCTGAGCCGAAGGCAGTCGCTTAACCAACTGAGCCACCCAGGCGCCCCAAGTGGTATATATTTTGACTTAATTTAGTATAATGTCATTTAAAAATGTTTTTATATATTTTTATTTTGGGTCTATTGGCCACATAAGAAAAAAAAAATGCTCATTGGTACATTTCAAGGCGATGTTTTATGACTATTTATAGGCAACAATTTTATAATTTATAGAACTCATTTTACCATGGAATGCATATCAAAGTGCATGACCTAAATACCTAAATACCTTTATTATTCTTGACTTAAAATTTTAAAGTATAAACATTTTTTTGAAATGAGTTTGGTTCACAGTCTGGGAATTCCTTAACTATTATCATTATGGCTGTCATCGTTATTTCTTGGGCTGTAACTATGTGTCAAACACTATAATTCTTTCAATTCCATCATTTTGTTTTCACCATTTCACTCACTGACTAGCATTATCACTGTCATTTTACTAAACAGGAAACAGAGACATACCGAGGCCAAGTTCCTTTCCTACGGCAAACCAGCTCATAAGGAATAGATTCAAAATTTATATCCATCCTCATTAACCTTAAAGCTTGTGCACTTAACCATGAAGCCAGACTGCACCTTAACATACCCAATGCAGCACCACAAGGCTATGAGCAAGAAAATTCCTTTTGCCTGCGGAATTGGCGCTGGTTTGGCAGACACTCAGCTGGGTGACTACCCTGAGACATCTGTTACTCTCTGTCATTAGCCCAACCATCATAATTACACACCCACTGAAATGATCATAAGATGCTTCGGGGCTGACCCTACAATGTTGTTAGTCATTCTGGTGCTGCATTTGTATCTTGTTAAAGAAATTCTGAGTTGGTAGATGATGGAAGAAAGGAAGATTAGTATTCAGAATCATATAATTTCAGAGCTGTAATTAAAGATAATCTAATGCAGTGATTCATAATCTTTTCTGGCGGAAGTGGTAGGGTCACTGTCCCTTTGAGAATCTGGTGAAAGATATTGCAATAGATAGTGTGGTTCTGGCTGCTTTTCAGCCAGTCTCTCTTCCCACTTGGAGACAGGCCCAAGTTCAGCAGGAGGCAGAGTCCCTCTCCTTCCCCAGTGATACTCCCTCTCCCTATGCCCTGGTGGACAGAAGAGGGACCCAGTAGACACTCTTGGCCAGGGCTTTGCTTCTCGCGGGTGAGAGCGAAGACGCAGGGTCTGTGGCAAAGGACCACAAGCAACAGCAAGCGCAGCAGTGAGCATCCAGGAGCTGAGGAACTTGGCACAAAGTAATGGCGGGAGGGGTGAGTTGTTGGCAGGGCCTTGCGTCCCTGGAGTGCTGCATGAACTGGTTGTCCACGCTTGCACTCGGCGCCTAAACCCTTCTCATAAAATCCTTCTCCATCCCAGTTAATGAAGTCGGTCTCTGTTGGCCACAGACAAGAAGTCTAACTGGTAGACCTCAGATCTCTCCTTGGAAATATGTACCAGCACACATTTCTTTTTTTGTACAATGTCAGGAGGATCCATGACTTCCCACAGTTTATTTACCAGATGAGGAACCCAACCAAGCTGATGCTGAATGACCTGTCTAAGGCCAGTGAAGTAGACATAAGCGGGGTTGGTGCTGGAACCCGTTCTTCCTGATCCCCAGTGACCTCCTGGTGTCCACAAACATACTTGCCATCATCATCATGGGGTGTGTGTGTGTGTGAATGACAACGAAAATCTGGACTCTGGAGACACAGAGACTAACTGTACAGCCATGAGCAGTACAACCACGTGCGGTTGACTAGTCCTTCATGAACAGATACGGGAAACATCAACCACATTATTCCTGAGAGGGAATGCAGTCCTAATTATCAAGGCAACACAGATTTTTAAGCTTGAGGGTGTATGTTTACGGTGACAATTTTATTAACGTTTTAAGGCATTCAGGAAGTTTCCCGGATATGCATTGTTGGTCTCTATGCCTCTTTGGAAAGGATGATCTAAATACTGGCATACAGAGGCACCTGGGTGATATAATCCATTAAGCATCTGACTCTTGGTTTCGGCTCGGGTCATGATCTCAGGGTCCTGAGATCCGTGTCGGGCTCCGTGCTGGGCGTGGAGCCTGCTTGGGATTCTCTCTCTCCCTCTCCCTCTGTCCCTCCCTGCTGCTTACCCTCATGCTCTCTCTCCTTCGTAAATAAATAAATAAATAGTGGCATATACGTTCAAATATCTACATTTCATTGTTTTCATTTTGGATAGTTTGTCTTGTATTTCTTCTATAAAGTTAGATTGCAAAGTGTTCATATTTGGTCGTAGGTCCATTTTTTTTCCCCTAGTAGATTGTAATTCATGTATCTTTTTCAAATATCAGAGTATAATTAGTCACTTTGCAATTCTTGGTTTTTTGGGGGGTCTTTTTGGTCATGTATCTGCTGGAGTTTTCAAAAGCTCTATCAAGCCAACTCTTAGCTGAATTACTTTATAGATATAGCTCTAACACAGTTTCTAGGCTATAGTAACTTCATATGGAAAGGCAAAAAAATCAAGAATCAAGACAGGCTAATGTATTACAGATAGAAAGGTAAAGAAGAGTAAATTGTTCATGTGGTCCACATTTTAAAGTGCATTATTTTGCTGTCTTAGTTCACAACTTAAGTCTAGTCACTACCAAGACATATACTTGCCAGGTAAATTTCTACTCATCTTTTAAGATCCAAAGTAAATGTCACCAAATCAGTGATACTTGCACCCTCCTACTCCCACACCTGCACAAATACAGCAGAATCAACTGCCTTCTCATGTGTCCTCATGATGTCTGAATCAGTATTTATTGAACAGATGCAATAAACAATAATCACATGTGAATGGTTTAGTAATAATATTCCCACAACACATGAGCTTTAATGGTTGAACTTGAATTTAGAATTGGATGTCTCTCCCAGAATACATGCGCCTTTCCAATTGCCAGAAAGCCTTCATTTGTGTCTCCCACAGTTACATCAATGAAATCTGTCCCACAGCAACCTCATCCTCTTTATTTACACACATACTTCTCTTCCTGTGTCCTGTTATCAGGAGAAGGTCACCATCATTTGATCTGTCACCAAATCTTAAAAACACCTGATGACAGTTGATTCCTTCCTTCTTTTAATGAACTATTCTTCTCCTTCCAATTTGAAATTTCATGAGATTCACTTTTTAGAAAAAAAATTCAATTCAATTAATTAACATACAGTGTATTATTAGTTTCAGGTATAGAGTTCAGTGATTCATCAGTCTTATATAACATGCTCATTACATCATGTGCCCTCCTTAGTGCCCATCACCCAGTTAGCACCCCCCACGCCTCTCCCTGAGATCCATTCCTTAAAACATGCCTTTAATTATGTAATGGCCTTTCACATGATAGTCCCCATAGACCTTCAAGGCAGAGATGAAATTCCTTAACAGAGCTCTCCACACCTGGTCCAACTCACATTTCGAAGCATATATTCGATGTTCACAGTGCACTCATGTTCAGAGACTTTGCTTTTTGCTCCATTTCTTCTCTCTGCTGTGAACTCTACCACTTTCTCTGTACAATCTGACCCACTGTTCCAGTGCAGATCTCCTGTCCTCTATGAAACCTTCCTTGTCATCCCTATTTGGTTCCCTGGAACACGTGTTCTTTCTCTCTGATCCCACAGTAATTTGTTCACACCACTAGTAGATCACTGAATGCAAACTTCATACTGGATAAGTACATGCTTGAATCAGACCCTAAATACTGAACTTTTTGTGGTCCAGGCTGACAGTGAGATTTGTGTCCTGTTGGCAGCCAGCAAAGTTCTCTGTTGATGGAGTAGGAAACCCTGACATACAGATTTATTGTCTTTTTTAATAAGAAATTGAGTCCAATCTCTTTCCTTTATTTGCTAAATGATATTATTATTTCAGTGACTGCTTTAGTGTTGTGAGCTATAAATGTGGCTTCTCAAATGACTATCAATATTCACATAAGTAAGAATGAAGGATAATGGAAGTTGGCATGTCTAGCACTAATAAATGCTATTTTTTTTAAACAAATTGAGAGGAAAATCTAAAGAAAGATATACTCAAAGAAATACAAATAAGCCAAGTAATTTTTGAAAAGATAATTCAGGAACAGATGGAAAGGACAGAAATAACTAAGAAATTAATTCAGGCAACATCATCAATATCATCCAACCAAAACTTATGTGAACTTTACACTGAGTCTGCCCATTCCTACTACATTTTTAAAAAGCAGATAATCTTGGAGCACACACAAAAAGTCAGTCCAATGATATCATTTTATAAAGGACTGAAATCCCTATGAATTGTATTTTAAGGCTTATACATTAGCAAACTAATGAACTAAGGCAGCTACCTAGAAGTTCTGATTTAAAAAGATTTTACTTAAACATTTCAAATTTGACACTTCCTTAAAATACAGAAAAACTCTAAGTCAAGATTGACAATGTAGAGTTTATAGTGCTATGCACAACTAGTCA